TGCACGTGTTCCTGAAACAAGCACAGAGCATTGTCCTTTCATTTCTCATCCTGGAATCAAATCCAGCCATGACGACTAGATGTAAGTCTGCTCTGTCTGCCTGCTGTAAGCAAGTTTGGACAGCCTAACCCTAAAGTCACTGCACTACAATTATAGTCAAGCACTTTGAGTTGGTTTAATGTGATTAGGCATTATAAAAAGCAAGTTCCTTTCTTCCTATGGTTAACTTCTGACTTATTATTCAAATTCAAGATCCTCATCCTCATCTACAAGGCCATTCACGGCCTCGCTCCCTCCTACCTCTCCGACCTACTATCGCCTTACTTACCTGCCCGTAACCTCCGTTCCTCTGGCTCCGGTCTGCTCCACGTCCCCCGCCCCAACCGCCCTACCATCGGTGGCCGGGCCTTCAGCCTCTCAGCCCCGAGGCTCTGGAACTCCATTCCCCAGTGCCTTTTCCGCCTCCTCCCTTTCCTCCTTCAAGGCCGGTCCCAAGACCTTTCTCTTTGACCGTGCCTTCAGCTCCCCTCTCGACTCTCTACCCCCTCCTCGCTCCCTCCCTTCCCTCCCCTCGCCCTGACCATTTCCCCCCTGCTCGGGTCATGACCCAACTGTCCAGCGCCTTGGGACATCCTCCCGACGTGAAAAGCGCTCTATACATGAAATCTTGTTGTTGTTGTTGTAGGTTTAACATTTTCATATTGAAATAAATACAATAAAGCATTCTGACAGTTTTTTCTTCACACCGGCTATTTGTTAGTATTTACATACTCCCACACCCACTGACCGAACTGGGTTACCTGTTTCCTTGACAATTCATGAACAGTGCCAAAAATAATCAATTTATCATTGTTTTTCACCTTAGTGGAACAAGTTACAATTGAGGTTATGCTTTGGGAGTCAATGGAAAACTAAGCACCTTTAGCTGATTAGACTTCAACAATACCCCAACGATCACTCTGGGGTTCCCAAACCTTAGCCTAATACTTTCCGGAATTAGGTAAGCAGGATGTGTCCCTCCAGGGAGAGAGTGAGCATTCCATTCCAATAATCTATCTCTGGGATTTCCATGTGTAGGTGGGATGTATGGAAATCTCAGCTTGGTTTGGATATTTGGTTAAGAAAGGTGATGGGTTTCCGTATGTGTCAGCCACTTGGCTGACCCCAAAGAAGGGGAGTGGAATTTGTGGTATTGGGGTTTTGAAAATTGAATTGCAACTTCCGGTTTCGCAAATTTCGGATTGTGAGATGCATAAATGGCAAATCAAGAATCCATGGCCATGAAAATCTAATACACAGCAGCTATTTGTTGGTGAGCCTTTTTACTTGCAAATAGTACTTGCATTTGATATAGTGCCTTATCATGTCTTTGTGACGTCTTAAAGCAGATCACAGAATATACTGTAAAGCGAATTGTCTGTATATTTTGTGGGGGAAAGGCATAGGTTGGTAATGAGGAGGTTATGCAGTATAGGATTGGATCAAGGAATATATATAGGTAAAGATCAATGAATAAGTACTCAAATATCTTCAGCAAACATTTGCATTGTGTTTAAATTATTTTTATCACTAGATCAATCCACCTGACAGTGTATCCTATGAAGTGCTTTAAGACGTCTCGAAGACCTGATAAGGTGCTATATCAAATGGAAGCATTATTATTGTTGTTAATTCATTTTGACAATTGTTTGTGAATTCGGTCATTTTGTCTCTTCTTCCCATGTTATTGCAAAGTTTTTTATGAAGCGTATCTGATTTGCAATGTTATACATGACAAGATGTCAGCACCACATATTCCAGAGTTCAACATGCCGAAACCCATCAGCATGTCACATGTACAACAACTTGCATTTATATAGCGCCCTTCATGTGGGTCAGCGTCTCGGAGTGTTTAACCGTGGTGGAGCCTGATGCCAAGCTGGGGGGAGGGAGGAGGTGACTGTGAGTACAGTTGAAGGGGAAAGTCTTCATTCCTGGGGAAGATGGGAGGAAGGCGGAGAGACTTACAATATATAATAATAATCCTTGCATTTGCTATAGCGCCTTATCACGGCAAGACAGCTCAAAGCACTTCACAGAAAATACTGTAAAGTGAATTGACTCTATATTTGTGGGCGAATCACAGCAGCCAATTGTGCACAGCAGTGTCCCACAAACAGTCGTGGATTGAAGTGACCAAATAATAATTATTATTTTTATTTTGACTTCCAAAACTTTGGGGTGTAGTGGCTGATGGTGCGATTGTACACCACCTATATGTGTGAAATTCTTCCCATTTGCCACCAGGCCACCTCCCCCCCCATCAGCAGGGCACTTCCCCCCCCATCACTAGGCCATTTCCCCCCCCATCACCAGGCCACTATCATCCCCCCCCCCCATCACCAGGCCACCACACACCCCCAACCAGGCCACCTCCACCAGACCACCTCCTCCCCCACCACCAGGCCACTTAATAATAATAATAATCCTTGCATTTGATATAGCGCTTTTCACGTCAGGAGGACGTCCCAAAGCGCTTCACAGAACACACTGTAAAGTGAATTGACTGTATATTTGTGGGCGAACGCGGCAGCCAATTGCGCACAGCAATGTCCCACAAACAGTCGTGGATTGAAAATGACCAATTTATTATTGTTTTTGTTTTGGAGGGATTATTATTAGGCTCTGTGTGGAGTAAGGAAACTTGCCCAAGGTTTCGCCCTGACCTGCCTGGAATTGAACTCTGGTCTCTCGCTTGCAAAGCGAGTGCTCTAACCACTGAGCTACAGGATGTCTCAGTGATGTGACCAGGAGTGATGTTTAATGCAAGGATTGTTATAATAATAATATAATAATAATCCTTGCATTTGATATAGCGCTTTTTCACATCTTCTACACGTCTCAAAGCGCTTCACAGAATATACTGTAAAGTGAATTGACTGTATATTTGTGGGCGATATACTATAAGTAATACGAGGTGAAAAAGAAAATCTCCACTTGCTGCCCGCCAACACCTCCTTGTAGCTGGCTCTGATTACCATGGTTGCTGTTCCATCTCACTGAGCTAGTAGAGTTCTGTGTGACACTCAGTTCTTTTTCCTTATTTATACCTAAATTTGTTTTTCTTCAACTTCACCACATTGCCAACTCCTATCCATGCCAATGTTGCCTCCAGACTGGACTTTTCCACTGTTCCTGTTTCTACCAATCACAAGGTGTGGCTCATCCAAAATTCTGCTGCTTGTATCCTGATACATACACATTGCTATAGTATGTTGATCACTACTATGGAGATATGGAAACTCCTTAACTGAATATGCTCTTGACAACATAAAATGGTGGGGGGGGGATCATACTAGTTTCTCTGACCACCAGCCTGTCCTCGTTGAGTAGTTTTACCTGTTATCATGGCTGAATAGGTCATTGCTGTTCAATTACATGCTAACCTATCTCTTTTAACTTTGATCACTGATTGGCTCTCATAGCTACCATATTCAGTGTGCTCAATTCCCTAAGGATTTCCCTGCATGAAATTTGGCACTGCACTAAATCCAGTGCAAAAATCGTCTGCATTGTCCCTCACACTGGTTATATGGTGCTACAATAATTCCAACCCAGACAAGGTCAAATAACCTGCTAACAACCCGGCATTCATGTGGAAGATTGGTGTTCATAAAGGAATATTAGCTATATTGCATTTTTTTCATTTATCTTATGTCATTTGGAGTTATAATTTTGTTGAATTGTAATTCTTCTAGCTGGTAGGTAATAAACAGCAAGGGAATTTAAAAGCAGAAAGACTAAAATGGCTTTCCGAGTGTAAGTTGGGTGAATAAATAGCACTTGAAAGTTTTCCATTAGAACTGTTAGCACTTGCAAAGCGAGTGCTCTAACCACTGAGCTACAGGACTCCACAAGTCCTTTCCACCCCCACCACCACCAGGCCCCTCCCCCCCACCACCAGGCCCCCCACACCACCTCCACCACCAGGCCCCTCCCCCCCCAACACCACCTCCCCCCCACCACCAGGCCCCTCCCCCCACCCACCACCTCCCCCCCACCACCAGGCCCCTCCCCCCATACCCCCCCCACCACCAGGCCCCTCCCCCCACCACCAGGCCCCTCCCCCCCACACACCACCTCCCCCCCACCACCAGGCCCCTCCCTCCCACACCACTCCCCCCCCACCACCAGGCCCCTCCCCCCACCACCAGGCCCCTCCCCCCACCACCAGGCCCCTCCCCCTCACACCACCCCCCCCACCACCAGGCCCCTCCCCCCCACCACCAGGCCCCTCCCACCCCCACCAGGCCCCTCCCCCCACACACCACCTCCCCCCCACCACCAGGCCCCTCCCCCCACACCACCTCCCCCCCACCACCAGGCCCCTCCCCCCACACCACCTCCCCCCACCACCAGGCCCCTCCCCCCTCCCCCCCACCACCAGGCCCCTCCCCCCACCACCAGTCCCCCCCCCCACCAGGCCCCTCCCCCCCACACCACCACCCCCCACCACCAGGCCCCTCCCCACACACACCACCTCCCCCCCCACCAGGCCCCTCCCCCCACACCACCTCCCCCCCACCACCAGGCCCCCCCCACCACCAGGCCCCCCCCCACCACCAGGCCCCCCCCCCGATACAAACAGTTGGGCTCAGTACAGTCTGTGGGCCATGGTGAGGGGGGGAAGGCTGTGAGTCGGGTTATCGCGCCAGACGAAATCCGCGCGTTTCTCACTGTGAGGGGGGGGGAGGGCTGGGCCGGGGGGGAGGGCTGGGCCGGGGGGCCTGGGGGGGAGGGCTGGGCCGGGGGGCCTGGGGGGAGGGCTGGGAGCGGGGGGGCCTGGGGGGAGGGCTGGGCCGGGGGCCTGGGGGGAGGGCTGGGAGCGGGGGGGGCCTGGGGGGAGGGCTGGGAGCGGGGGGGGCCTGGGGGAGGGCTGGGAGCGGGGGGGGCCTGGGGGGGAGGGCTGGGCCGGGGGCCTGGGGGGAGGGCTGGGAGCGGGGCTGGGGCTGGGGGGGGAGGGCTGTTCTGGGCGGGGACACCGCGGCACTCGTGCTGTTTGCAGCAGAGCCGCAGTGTGTGTGTGTGTGTGTGAGAGAGAGAGACACAGACACCCACAGACTGTGTTGTGCGCGGTCTCTCTTCACTGGAAACAAACCAGTGTTGTTGCCACGTTTGAATGCAGTGACTGCACCTCCAGGTGGGTGGCGGCGGCGGCGGCGGCTATTATTAATTTATTTGTTTATCGTTGGCTACAATTTGTTTTTCCTGCATATGTGTATGTGTGTGTGTGTGTACATATACAGTAAAACGTGTACAGTATATATTTATATACACACAGAGAGAGCAGTGTGTGCCCCCCCCCCTGTTAGTCAGTCAGTCACAGGATCAGGGCGGCCTCACCCCCCCCTCAGCTCCAGCAGTTGGTATCTGTTCCTGTAATAACTAACCCCAAACTTTCCCCCTCTCCCAAAAGGGATAAGATGGCATCAACAGCGTGAAAAAGGGTTTATAAACCACCTCCAGCCAGACTCGGCTGGTTTGCAGGGTTACTATTAACTGGGAGTCCTTAATCCAGGTAAGGGATCACTCATTTTGGGGGATCCCTTCAGGGTTGATGGTATATGTCGGTTGAATGATTACCACTGTGATCAATCGTCCTCGTGTTCGAATCAGGGCTCTGTCGTGTGGCCTCGAAGTGCTTCACAGGATATCACTGTAAAATGGTGTGGCTGTATTTGTTGGGAGAAATTGTACGTTGAGCTGAGACTGTGTGCCCCATCTGTATGGTACAGCTAAGGAATTGAGCACCAAAATCACCCCCCCCCCCTCCCTCCCTCCCCCAGAACATTTTTTTCCCCCCCCACCCTCACCCCCCCCCCCCAAAAAAAAGCCAGCTCATTGCATCAGGAATAATCCACAGTGTGGATTGAGGATAAATAAATATAGTGAAAGGCTCGCCACACCTCTCATCATTGTGTGTGAGTAAATAAGATGAACCGGCTTCAGCTCACAGTCAGCGAGCTGCCTTTACACTGCCTTTCCTTATATTAACTACATCCAGTTCTTCTGTACTTCGTCCCTTGTGCTTGTGACTTTAGCCGGTGCTGTTGGTGACTTGCATCTATTTTTTACAGTTCTGTAAGTGGAGAATCGCACAGTTCCATTCCAATTCCATTGGAAACAAATCGGAGCATAATGTCTTGTACCAAACATCTTGCTTAAAAGAAATGTAATTCTCCTGATGGTTCATTGCGCAATTGCACTCCAATTGCACATGTGGAACAAGCAGTTCCAGATTGATCTTAGCATTTGCTGACTTACTTAGTTTATTCTTTCAATATTCTTGGGTGAGTGGGAGGAGACCGTATATTCGGATGTGGGAATTAACTAAAGATCTTGCTTCTGAACCCAGTCAGGTAATCACTGTTGAAGCAAAGGTTTTGGGTGATTGTGTTTAGCTGTGACGGGCCCTATGGGTTAAATGGTTTATTGTTATTTGCTAGCAAGAATTGTTCTTTAAGAATTATTATTTGGATGAGATACTGGGGGGGTGGTGTTGCTCTTCTATAGCTTAGAATCGTAAAAAATTGCAGTTTAGAGAGAAATAATTTGGCCCTTCGAGTCTGCACTGGCTCTCAGAGCAAGCAGTACTTTCAGTCCTACTACCGTGCCCTATCCCCATATTCCTTCAAACCTCTATCTTTCATTTATCTCTATCTTGAAACCCACAGTTGTCCCTCTACCACTTTACTTGGCAGAGCATTACACGTTTCAGCATCTCTATCCCTGATTAGTTCATGCCTACCTAATTGCTAACCTGTTCTCATATTATTGGCCTGAAAAGTTTACCCATAACTGACGTAAGGCTGACCAGTTTAAAATTTCCTGGCATACTTTTAGCTTCTTGAACAGTGGCACCACCTCCTAATGAAGGAATTGCGAATTTATTCACATCCTAGTACTTGATATGCCAAAATGCCAAATTGTGCTAGCTTGCTACTATTAAATGCTCAGTGTTTGCATCTATAACAAACACCTTGGATTCATATGGCACCTTTTACACAGGATTGTTTCTCGGAGCGCTGGGCCTACAGAGGTAGATGGAAGCGAGTATTTTCCGTCTATAGTTTTAAAATACTGCAGTATTTTGTACTTAGAACTATATGTTTTACACCAGCTTAATGTCAAAATAATTCAGGGTAAATTTGGGTTTGAATTTGGCCGCAATGACTTAACCTTGTCGTTATATGACTCTTAATAAATGTGAGAAACTGTTCTGCAGACTTTGAAGTTGATCGTCTCTATGAATACTTTTTATATTGCACTGAACTTGACCTGTTCTGTTTCACTTCTTGTTTTGTACAGTTGTAAAAAGGTGAACCTATCTAGTTTGCCATTGCTTGGTGCCTGGCAGAGAAAAACTGGTAGCTCCAAGAGTGCCAATAGGAAGATGGCTGCTTCATTTGTTCCTGTGCCCTTACCTTTAGGAAATTCCTCTCCTGGAACAGCTACAAGCAAAAATCGTAGGAGTTCTTCGCTCCAGTCGTTGGGCAGTGCGTCCACAAGTTCAAATTCTTCAAGAGGTTATTTGGACGAATTGCATTCTGGTGGCTTCAGAAAGACTGTTACTTCTGATCATTTAGCTTCTGCTTCCTCTGCAACTAATAGTCCTTTAGTAAGGACCAAGCTCAATGGTGCAAACTCATCCATCGAATACTCTCCCAGACCCACAGGGTCTGAGAATGACACTGATTTGGTGAACTGGGAAGATAGACCTGCTACACCTACACTATTGGGGTATGAGGTTATGGAAGAAAGGGCAAAATTTACGGTAAGCTTTTACATGTTTTTTTGCATGCTTTTAGGAATAATTATCTATCTGGATTGTAGTTGTACATTTCATACACTTTATCATATCCAGTGTTAGATTAATGTAATGCTCTTGTGCCCCTTTTGCTGCTATTAAAGTAACTTCAACAACATTTTATATAAAAATGCAGTAGATATCTGAACCTACTAAGTAATAGTAGGCCTTATACACTAGTCCTCCTCTACACCCCTCCCCCATCATTTTGACCCCAGTTTGGAATTAGCAGAAGTAATAGCAACTGAAAAATAGTCTGCACTTCCGATTTATTATCAGAATCTATTTTCTTTTTTTGCAGTCAGCCGGGCATCTCTCATGTGCAGAATAATATTATTTTAATAATACCCTTATATTTGAGAGAGGTTGCCTCAAAGGAATTCCTGTATAGGAATGCCTAATATTTTTGTAGGCAAAAATAGCAGTCAGTTCACGTATTGCAATATACCCTGAACAATCATGAACTAAATGACCAATTCTTTGTGGAGGATTTGCTGGCCAGGACAAAGGGAAAAACTCACTAGGCTTATTTAGTATATTGTTGCCAATATATTTCTTGTGACAGATGTGCACTGCATGTTGTAGCACTTTATCCCACTATGGGTTTAGTTCCAAATGTTTTCTCTGAACACAACCTAAGGAGAGAACTGTAACTGTATTCGTATTTCAGTTTCAAAGTTGGCAAAGCATGAACTTTTTCATATGCTGCCAAAGCACTTGAAATCTTAGTAACAAAGCAAAAATTGTTTGACACTGTACTGATTAATCTGTACAAGTTGTAGCTTTCATTGACTACAATGAACTTTTTTTTAGGATGCTAATTAAAGTGGGTTTTGACTTGTCTCCAAACGGGCAGCTCTTAATAAATCTTTGTAATTCATCGGAATCAAAAGTCACTTTTTGGTTTTGTTGCTAATTTTGTGCAATTTGCTTATACCAGGTTTGCAGGTTAATTTGATGTGGATCTTGGACTGCTGATTGCTAGCTTTTTAATTCAGAGAGGATTGGCAAGCAAGCCACCCTTAGCACAATTTCTTGAGAAGGTAGAACAGAAGTTAGGACTTTAGCCGAGCAACAAAAAAAAAGGATAATTTAACTTCAGCAAAACTTTTATGTTGCTTGCAAAGTAATTTAATAAAAAGCACACTAATCTTTGCACTTGATATACCACTTTGTCAACATCTCAACCCACTTCACAGGATACCGTAGGATGTACAGTAATTGTATTTTTGTAATATTGGGTGAGTGGCATTTTACAACATTTACATTTTTTGTTCTGCAATAAATATGTTGTTTCTCTTCCTGAGTATGAATAACTTTTAAGAGCATACAAGTGATTTCCCTGAGCCAGTGCTCACTCTCCCAATACCTCATCAAGCAGCCATTGTTCATGTCAGGTTGGCAGGCTGTTCAGCAGCCAAACCTGATCCTTTCCTCTTATAATGTCTGCACACGCTGGATAGCGATTAGGAATGTGAGCTCTAGCCAGTGTTTTTCCTTTTCCTAACCCAGAATGTTAAAGCCAGTGTTAACACACAAACCGGGCTGACATCAGCTAACTCGGCCCAGACTGGGATTCGAACCTACGATTTTTTTCAGGTCGGCCCGTATGGCTTAGTGACTCGCTGAATAAACTTACTGGGTCAGAAGATTTTGTATCCACCAAAAATTGAGTGAACTCTTAAGGGCTTAAAATCATGTTTTCCGGATGTCAGAGAGGAGTTGTGATATGCACAAATTTTAGCTGCTTGTGAGAGTAGGACTTAAAATTATTTTTTTTCCACGTCTTACCTGATTTGGGGAAAATATAGCTCACCTGAAGCCATTTAGAAGTTGCACCAGAATCTGGAATGTGTGTTCTGACTGACTGACTGAGGTCTTGTTTTCTTACCCTAGTCCTCGCACTGTTTGTGGGATGAACCTGATTTTTCCACTACTAATACATGCTGCTGCTGTTGTTAATGTATGAGTCAGTTTCATTATTCAACACAAGTATGTGTGAGGAAGTGTGGTTTATCTTTATCTGAGAACGGTTTTGGTAGGTGCTAAAAGTTGCACATCTGTCACAAGCAATGCAACTGTTTGACTTGAATAATAACTGTGTGGACTTAACCCTGGTCAGCTGAGGGATACAAGGTGGTTAAATGTTCCATTTTAATCAAATGCCAGAGTGAAATCTTAGTAAGATTGGCCCACTCTTAAGGTTTTTCACACATTTTGAGAGTTTCATAATGTAAATGGGTGATGCTTGGAGATATTCATTGCCCTATAGATACTGCTGGTCTAAGTATCCTAGAGATCATTTCCTTCATATTCTACATTTGTCTGTATCCAACAATCTGCATGCATGTTAAGTACAGAATATGTTGAGACATTCTGTTTTTGGGTATCATTTTAAGAGCTTTGCAATAACAATCCAAATACTGAATCACTTGATAACTTGATGAAGCAAGTTATGTTTTTACCCAATGGATTATGTAGGTTTGAAAAGTAATAAAGTAACAATTATCCTCATATGATATAACACCTTAACTTGCAATCGGAACGTCTCAGAGAGCTTCACAAGACTTAATGTAAGCTCTCTTGTAGGCGAATTCAGTATCCAGTTTGCACACAGCAATGTTCCACAAACAGCCACGCAGTGAATGTCCAATGTTATCTGAGAGATTGTCGGCCAGGACACCCGAGTGAAACTCCCTTCTCTTTTCTAGTAGTGTCATAGGAACATAGGAATAGGAGTAGGCCATTCAGCCCTTTCAGCCTGTTCCGCCATTTAATAAGATCATCGCTGATCTGTACCTCAACTAAGCCTTTCAAATGCAATTTCCCGTTTTCTCCCCATATCCCTTAATATCCTGACCTACCAAAAATCTGTCAACCTTCCTCTTTATTTCTTTTTAAGGTGTGGATGGATCCAGTACCCACAGCCTTTTGGGGGAGAGAATTCCATATTTCTACCACCCTGAGTGAAAAAATGCTTCTTGATTTCACTCTTATAAATGGCCTGGTTGAAATTTTAAGACTATGCTTCCTTGTTTTGGATTCCCCCACCAGAGGAAATAGCTTCTCTGTGCCATGGGATTTTTATCTGAAGGATGGCATCTCCCGACAATGTAGCACTAGGTTACTAGAGAGAGGAGCGTTTTCCCTTTTAGGACAAGACAATAAAAGCACAAACTCAGAAGGAAATGGCAGCTGACTTAATCTGAAACTATTGAATTCTAAGTTATACTCCTTGGAAAATTCAGTACAATAGACGAATCATGGGTGAGGAAGTAAGTGAACTCTTTGACATCTTTGTCAACCTCGATGGAGTATCAACACTGGATCCTTTTCCGGTGGGATAAGAGTTGTGGTTAAAAAAATAACCTGCAGTGTTTACATAGAAACTGGTGGCCAATTGGAGTCGCTCCACGTGATTTTGTACCTATTAGCTTTTGTGATTGGCTTCCCTGAGAGTTGCCAATCTCGTTGCTCATCCCTTTAGTGATTTTACTAAGCAGCTCAGAAGCTGCAGAAATGATCAACACAATCCCAGGGGGATTTGAAATGTTGTAGGGATATTGTCAGAACTTTCTTCTGATCCCAAAAAAAAAAAACCCTACATTTTACCTTTTTTTAAAAGCAGAATTGTAGATAACTGCATTTGGAAAGCAAAATTTAAGAAACTCCCTAACTGGAGCATATATGATTTGACATTTCAACAGAATTGTAATGGTGTATTAAACATTGATTGAGTCATCTTGTGGGTGAGTCCAGAACTGGAAGGCATAAATATAATTGAGCCAGTAGCGTATCTAATAGGAAGTTTAGGAGGAACTTCTTCAAGAAGAGGGTAGTAAGAATGTGCAGTACTTAATAATAATGTGTGGAACTCATTGTCAGAAACTGGTTGAAGCATTAACATATTTAAGAGGAAACTTAAGGGAGAGCAAAATAGAGAGAGATATAGGTAAAAGGAATAAGGGATGGAGGCTCGGGTAGAGTATAAACAGCATTTTTTTTAAATGGTTTCAAAATTCAAATCAACTTTTTTTTTATTTTAAAACATTTTACAAATGTAATTGCTATACAGATGCATTGTTTCAATCCAGGTTAAGTTCAAGTTTGTTCTGAAATCTGCTGGTATGGTTTGTTTTTAAAATCTAGGTTTACAAGGTTCTTGTGAAGAATCACCTCGCGGAGAACTGGGTGGTGTTCAGGAGATACACAGATTTCTCACGACTGAATGACAAGGTGTATAATCTGTTCTCAGTTTTCTGTTAAAGTTCATGGATTGCAAACTTATCTCATTTTAAAGCAACGTTGAAATAATAATAATTATCTTTATATTTGCTATGGCGCCTTTCATGTCAGGAGGATGTCTCAAAGCGCTTCACATGACGTGCTGTAAAGTGGAATTACTGTGCTTTTTGTTTTGTGGCAGCCAATTTGCACACAGCGATGTCCTACAAACAGCAATGAAGTGACTGTCCAATTGTTTGGGGGGATTGTTTCACTGGATACCCAGGGAAACTACCTTCTTGTTGAATAGTACAGTGGGATCTTGTAACATCCACCTGAATGGGCAGACAGTTTAACATTTCATTTGAAGGACAAGAAATGTTTAATATTTAGAAATATTTAAGTTTGTGTAGATTGAATGCAAAAAAAAGTTGTTCCAGGTGAATTACTACATAATGCCCAAATTTTATAGTTTCCCATTATACAAAGTATGATTGTATCCTCTCTGGATCGTGGGATGCGCTCTTTTAGTTAAGTATGTTCAATGTTTTGAGACTATTCTGCGTGAAGGGTGCTATATAAATGCAAGTTGTTGTAACTAAAAGCTCCCCAAAATTGAATGATCTTTTTTCCAGGTTAAAAGGTTGAGGAATATGAGAAGCTTTTTATGCTTCAGGTACTAGGTTTGATTCCCAATTTTAGTGTAAAAGTTGTAATGCAAAGCAGCCTTGCCCAAGTGGCTAATTTTCACCTATTCAAGCAGTGGAACTCCACAGGTTATTTAACTTGAGATATGGTGAGACTGTATCACAATCTTGCCCATCATCCGAATGTACATTTTTCTTGCTTATAACATCGGGGTAGGAATCTGAGGGTAGGCAAAGCAACTCCATCCTCACAGTTCTGTCTAACACTCAACAAGACAGGGATGAGACCTTGGATCCTTCATTTTCTTTAATGCCCATTGCTCCTTCCACCTGAGTGCATTTCATCCGTTCAACTCTCATGGTGCTCAAGTTGCACTTGTACCAATACTAAATTCAACCGCTCACATCCTCAACCCCATCACTCTTATCCTCACCAGGCTCCAGTGGCTCTCTGACTCAAGATCCCCACCACTACAAATCCTTTTGCACCCTACACCTCTGACCTGCTCATACTCAACACCAGCTTGCATTTATATAGTGCCCTTCACGTGGGGCAGCTTTCTGGAGCATTTCTTTCACCCCACTCCTTTACCCATTCTCTTCGTTCAACAAACACAGGCTTGCTGCACGTCCTGTGTCATGATCGGTGACTGTTTTCAGCCACTATCTTGCTAAACTCTGCAACTCCCTGCTTCTGCATTGCCCCTCTTTATCTTTAAATCCTACTTTAAAACCTCTTCGACTGTACCTACGGTCAACTCCCCTTCTCCTTTCTCATTCGTTCAGTGTCCAGCCCCACCACTGTGAAGCATTCCCAAGACATTAGCTTAGGTGAAGGGCACTTTATAAATGCAACAACAACAACAACAAGATTCCATTTATAAAGCGCCTTTCACGTCGGGAGGACGTCCCAAGGCGCTGCACAGTTGGGTCATGACCCGAGCAGGGGGGAAATGGTCAGGGTGAGGGGAGGGAAGGGAGGGAGCGAGGAGGGGGAAATGGTCAGGGTGAGGGAAGGGAGGGAGCAAGGAGGGGGAAATGGTCAGGGTGAGGGGAGGGAAGGGAGGGAGCGAGGAGGGGGAAGAGAGTCGAGAGGGGAGCTGAAGGCACGGTCAAAGAGAAGTTGTTGTTACCTTGGTTCTTGTGAATTCAAACTAAATCTACCTCCTACTTTAGCACTTGTTTGATCACATGGAGGCAAAAGCTGATGTGCTATGCTTGAGTTTGTGCAACATATTCACTGGTGAAAATTAACCACTGGGCAAGCCTGCTTTACAACATGGAATATGTACTCTTACTGGTTTAAATCAAATGGAAACACCAATTGTTGGCTACCGTGTGACTATATGGTAGGAATCTTAGGCACTAGTTTATCTTGCAGCAAAACAAAGGCCCTGAATTAAACGGTCTCTAATTTCCATAGATACAAGTGTAATGAGTTTTACACTTCAAATCTTTAAAAACATGAGGTTTAACATTGCTGTTGCCTAACGGGAGTGTTAATGTTGTATTCTGGGGTAGGAAGAATTGATTTTAAAAATGTTCAGGTTCTAACCATATGAAGAATGGTATATAAATGCAAGTTGTTGATTACAGCTACAGATCTGTACCAGTCTGAATCCTTATCCCCCTCCTGCTCTATCTCCTTGGACTTCTCCTCTCTCCTTTCCTCTCCCAAACTCTCCCTCCACATCCACTTGCCACCCACGTTTATGGCCACCCACTCGACCTGGTGATTACCCGAGGCCTCAGTGTCTTGGACCTCACAATCACAGACAAAGCCATCTCCGATCACCATTTCATCTCCTTTAACTTCTCAATCCCTCTCCCCACCACCACCAAACTCACCTCCTGGAAAAAAATCTCCCCACAATCCCCCTCTGCTGCCCTGGAGTCATCTGAATTCCTCCCCCTCTGACCTTCCGCACTGATTTATCCTCCTCGCTGACTCTCCTCCACAACTCCCTCTTCACCATTCTCGATGACCTTGTCCCCTTCACCTCCCGAACCACCTTCTGCTCATGAACCTCACCCTTGTACATTAGCCACCTCCACTCCCTCAAGAGGCAGGTGTGGGCTGCCGAATGCACCTGGCTCAAATCTGATCTAATGGTCCAGTGGCAGATCTGGCTGGACCACATCAAAATGCACCACTCCGCACTCGCCTCCACCAAATCATCCTTTTACTCCAAGATAATCTTGGAGGCGAAGGACAATCCCAGGGTATTATTCTCCACCACCTCCTCCGCCCACTCTCCCATGCCTCACCCAATCTCTCCTTAAACTCTGACTGTGAGGAGATACTGGATTTCCTTGAGTCCAAAATCGAGGAGATCCATTCAGCTGCCTCCGCCTTCCCAACCGCCACTCCCTCCCCATCTCCCTGCCACACTCCGATCCCATCCCTCTCTCCATTTCTTCAAACCTGTCTCCCCCTCCTCTTTCATCACCAACATATCCAGCATGAAATATACCACCTGCTCTCTTGATCCCATCCCCACCCCTCTCCTTACCTCCCAGCTCCACCTCCTCGCCCCTCTACTCTCCGACACCATCAATCTCTCCCTATCATCTGGTACTGTTCCCATCCCCCCAAAAAAACCCCAGCTATAATCACCCTCATTCCTGAAAAAGCCATCCCTGGACCCATCCCTGTTTTCTAACTACTGGCCCATCTCCAACCTCCCTTTTCTTTCCAAGATCCTTGAAAGAGTCATTGCTTCCCAGCTTCGCTCCTTCCTCTCCTACTGCTCCCTTCACCAGCCCCTCCAATCGGGTTTCCATGCTGCTCACAACACAGAAACTGCTCTGGTCAATGTCACAAACAACATCCTGTCCATCTGTGACCAGGGCTCCCTCTGCCTCCTCATTCTCCTTGCCCTCTCTGCTGCATTTGATACCGTGATCCACTCAATCCTCCTCCACTGCCTCTCCTCTCACCTCAACCTTCAAAGTTCTGTCCTTGAATGGTTCAGGTCTTATCTCTCACACCGTCTCCAATTTGTCTCCACCAACGGTTTCTCTTCCAGCCCCCCCACGTCTTGTGTGGTGTTCCTCAGGGCTCTGTCCTTAGTCCCCTCCTCTTCAACCTCTATATGCTCCTCCCTTAGTGACATCATCCAAAGACATGAGTTCAACTTCCACATATACAGGGATGACATCCAACTCTATCTCTCTGCCTCCCCCCTCTATTCCAGGACAACTGATGTCCTGACAGACTGTCTGTCAAGCATCCAGTACTGGATGAGAGCCAACTTGGACAGCTGAATGTCAGCAAGACCGAGGCCCTCCTGATTGGCTCACGCCAGCGCCTCCACACCTCAGGCACTGCAGCATCAGCATCCATGGTTGCACACTCCACCTCACCAAGCCAGTCAGGAACCTGGGAGGCTTGTTCGATCCTCAACTGTACTTTCTCCCTCATATCTGTGCCATGACCTGCTCTGCCTTCCCCCACCTTTGCAACATTGGCCAACTCTGCTACTGCCTTACCTCTCAGGCTGCCAAAATCCTCACATACGCATTCATCACCTCAAGGCTCAACTACGGAACCTTCCTCCTTGTTGGCCTCCCCAACTTTTCCCTCCACAAGCTGCAGATCATCCAGAACTCTGCAGCTTGTGTCCTTTCCTGCACTAGGCTCCGTGACCCCATCACCCCCACCCTCACCCGACTCCACCGGCTCCCTATACCTCAAAGGATAGAATTCAAAATCCTCATCTTCACTTTCAAGGCCCTCCACGGCTTTATCCCCTCCTACCTCTCTGACCTGCTAATCAATCTGTCTGCTCCCTCCGTTCAGTCAGGCTCCAGCCTGCTCCACGTCTCCCGCCCTACCATCGGCGGCCGGGCTTTCAGCCTCTCTGCCCCCACCCTCTGGAACTCCATCCACAATCTCTTTGCCTTGCTCCCTCCCTTGCCTCCTTCAAGGCACAACTCAAGACCCTCCTTTTTGACCGTGCCTTCAGCCTCCCTCCTACCTCTCTACCCTCCCTCAGCCCAACGTTGCCCCTCCACACTCGGGTCCTGATCCCTGACTGTTCAGTGCCTTGGGACGTCCTCCTGATGTGAAAGGCGCTTAACAAATGTAAGTTTGTTGTTATGTAACAATGCTTGCATTTGGCATAGCACCTTACCACATTGAAACTCTTTCACTTTCATATAGTTTGTGTGACTTTTGTTCATGGATAAAGGAGAGTAAGGAAAGGAGAGTAGTTCTGACAAGGAAGGTAATTTTCTGCAAAGTAACTCTTAATAGAATGAAGATGTCTAAAATTCTTTTCATCTTCTTTAAATTCCTACCAGCTAAAGGAGATGTTTCCTGGTTTCCGCCTAGCACTTCCACCCAAGCGTTGGTTCAAGGATAATTATGATCCTACTTTCTTAGAAGACCGACAGCTAGGACTGCAGGCATTTCTGCAAAATCTAGTGGCACACAAAGATATCGCAAACAGGTATTGTGTTTTGGTATTGTGGACTATTGGCTGCTGAATGCTGGAATAACTATCCTATTAATCTCCTGGTATTTGCTATCATAAACATAGTGTCAGGATCAAGGTTCACGTTGATGCATTAGTTCAGGTTTTAAGAATAGTTCAGTTGGAACCCATTTATTCAGTGGTTTGGTTACGTAAATTTAGATGCCTACATTATCACAGGATTCTCACCTATAAAACCCCCACCTTCTTCCCCCCTCCATCCGTCACTCTAATTCTTGCCAGGCTCCACTGGCTCGATTGCAGATCAGATTGATTTAAGATCCTCACACTCACTTACAAACCACTTCATGCCCTAGTACCTCCCTACCTCTCTGACCATGGTGAATAAACACAAAAAAAGCAGTTTAGACGTGTAAATTCTTTGCATTGGTTGCACTTGTATTTTGTCTTTAAAAAGGTTAGGTGTTAAGATGAAAAATCTTCAGTTTTTGTAATAATGTAACACAGTTTACATTTACGTAGATGCTTTCATGTTGGGAGAATTTCTCAAATCACTTACCTCTGCGGTTGGGCACAACCTACCTGCCTACCAGAGGTTTTTGGTTACAACTGGGGCTAACTTATGCCCAGTGGAACAAATTCCCATTGAAATACCATTGTTTTAATTGTTTCAAAATAATTGTCTTTGCTGAAGTAACTTTTTTCCTTTTCAGCATGGCAGTGAGGGAGTTTTTATGTCTGGATGAACCACCAGGTCCCTTTGATAGCCTGGAAGAGAGTCGGGTAAATTCAGTTTCTATTCTTTTATGACTACAGCATGTTAACCAAACCTGCTGAAAATCCTTGTATTTGATATATCGACTTTCACGTTATTGAGCGGAAAAATGTCTCAAAGCACTTTGCAAGGTTTTATTGTGAAGTGTAGTTACTGTGTATTTTGTAGGCAAATGTGACAGCCAATTTACCCAAAGCAATGTCCCACAGACTGCTTGAAAGTGAATGATCATTTTTGGCTGGGGGGATTATTGGCCAGGACACCAACCTCTTGTCAAATAGCACCATGGGATCTTTAACATCCACCTGAACATGCAGATGGATTTAACATCTCACCCAAAGGACAGTACCTCCAAAAATGCATCATTCCTACTGGAACTGTATTGGAGAGTCAGCCTGGGTTGAGTTCAAGGCCCTGAAGTGGGGTTTAAACCCACAACCTCTGACTCAGATGCAAGCATTTCTGTATACAATAATGGTATTGTTTTTGTGGACAGATAAGCATTTGCTGAACAAAGCAGAAATCTTTGGAGTGGGTGAAATTTATACTGTGGCTGCCGATGCATTCTTTAAACTTCAGTCTATTTATAATTGATGACCTTTTTAAAACGTGCAGTCAAACATTAACTATTTGTTTTTTGAGGGGGGAGTAGAGAGTGAAAGGAAAGCAAAATATTCTGAGACATTGATGTTAATGTATTCTGAGACATTAATATTAATGTATTCTGAGACATTAATATCAAATTGCATGAAAGTAGTGGGTTGTTTTTCAAATATTTTGTAACTCTTTATTCTCTCAGTTAACTTCCAATCACTTGTTTTGGAAATGTTGGCTTACTGCTGAAAGCCTGTCTTCAGATTGGTTTTGCAGCCAGTATAAGGCCCAGGCTCATGGCATTTGATGTGCTTTGCCATTTTGGCACAACCTTCTCCATCTACCAATGCAGACCTGTAGTCAAATCAGGAAACATATGTCTCCAGTAAGCCTACTTGGTAGTGGAAGTGGTGGTAACCTGACGGGGTCTGGCTGACTAAACCCATTTGTTAAACATGAGACACAAATGAACAGTGATCACTATTGTGTTGGTTCCAAATATGGTCACACATTGTGTTAAAGACACAGCTTATCACACTTTTCATGATGACTTCCCACTACAGGCTTTCTGTGAAACATTGGAAGAAACTAATTATAGACTTCAAAAGGAACTCGTGGAAAAGCAAAAGGAAGTTGAAACTCTGAGGAAACTACTGGAAGAAAAATGCCTTCATATAGAGGTTTTAGAAAGCAGATCAAGGTACTGTGACATGTCATTACTTTCTTTTTTTCCCCATTTTCACATTGTTTCAAACTTAATATATATCAGCAAGCTCTTCCTACAACTCCCCATTGCCAATTCTTTACACTGTGCATATTTACATAATACACAGTATAAGTAATAACAGCCCTGGGATACCCTGCTGGTCACCTAATTTCATTTGATGCAGCTCCATGCAAAACTGCAAGTTGCTTCTTTTGACTTACAAAGGGAGCTTTATGTACATGGGCTGATGACTGGTAAATGGAGTTCAATATAGATAAATCAAGTTACTGAATATAGGAGGATACACACCATGAATGGGACAGAAATTGTGTGATGCTTTGACTCACTAAATCAATGTAAGGGTGGGGTGGGTGTGAGAGAAGAGGCTTCAATTGTGTTACTTAGTAGTTTCCTTGCCCATCCTTGCCCAACTCCACTGGCTTTCCATCACACAGAGGATACAGTTCAAGATCCTGGGCCTCACCTTCAAAGCCCTCCATGGTCTTGCTAACCCCTACGTCGCTGACCTCCTAACCCCCTACCATCCTGTTCGCTCCCTCCGCTCAGCGGGCTCTGGCCTGCTTTACGTCCCCCGCCTTGCTCGCCCCACTATTGGTGGGTGGGCTTTCCGACACTCTGCCCCACCATCTGAAACTCCATCCCGTAGACCCTCCATCTCTCCCCCTCCCTCGCCACCTTCAACACCCACCTCAAGACCCTCCTCTTCGACCATGCTTTCGATCTCCTTGCTTTCCTTCCCCACCCCGACCCCCAGCTCGGGTCCGTAACTCTGTCTGTCCAGCGCCTTGGGACGTCCTCACGACGTGAAAGGTGCTATACAAATGTAATTTTGTTGTTGTTGTTGTTTCAAATGAGAAAACTGTCTGGAGTGGGAAAAAAGTAGTCTATATACCACTTTGAGGTGCCCACATCGTGAGTGAAATTGACTCATTCCAACAGAAATTGGTTAACTGAGAAGTGAACGTTTGATTTCATGTCTTTCATGGTTTGACCATTTCAAATCTACCTTGAGTTTCCTTCTTGCTGTGATCTTAGTGTTGTGACGAGATACTGGTGGACACTTGACATCCATCAATGTAGGAGTACTGAAGCCATACAAAGCTTAGCAATTTAGCATTGAGTGTGTTTACAGACTAGCACTCCCTTGCAGCTGAGTTCCAACACATAGCATTTTGTATTTCTTTTGCAGATTTCTGATGCTCTTAATGATTCTAGTCAGGTTATCTTGTGTCTACCAGAACTAATTGTGGTGTGCGTTTACAATTGCATGTGTTGAAATGAGCACTGATAATCTTGCACTAATGATCATAGTTTCTGGTATGCCTTATGCACAGTTTGTTGAAAACAAACAAAGGCATGTACCAAAGCACCAATGATTTATAAAAAATATATTATGACAGTAACATTATCACATAGAATCATACAGCACAAAAAGAGGCCATTCAGCCCATTGAGTCAGTGCTGGCTCTTTGAGAAGAGCAATGTAATGTCAATCCCACTCCCCAGCCCTTTCCCTATAACCCTGCAAACTCGTCCTCCTCAAATACCCGTCCACCGGGTTTTTAAAAGTTGTTATTGAATCGGCCTCCACCACCCTTGCATGCAATGCGTTCCAGATTCGAACAACTCGCTGCATGAAAACATTTCTTCTCACCTCCCCTCTGCTTCTTTTAGATACTATTTTGAATCTGTGACCTCGAGTCACCGACACACCCACCAGTGGAAACTGTTTTTCCCTTTCTAACCTATTAAATCCCCTCATGATTTTGAAGACCTCTATCAGGTCTCCTCGTAACCTTCTTTGCTCCAATGAGAATAATCCCAGTCTCACTAGCCTTTCCTCATAATCAAGGTCCCTCATTCCTGGTATCATCCTTGTAAATCTCCTCTGCACCTTTTCCAATGCCTTAACATCCTTCCTATAGTGTGGTGCCCAGAACTGGGCGCAGTATTCTAACTGAAGCCTAACCAGTATTTTATATAGGTTAATCATAACCTCCTGACTCTTGTACTCTATGCCCCTATTTATAAAGCCTAGTATCCCATATGCCTTTTTTACAGCTTTATCTACCTGTCCTGCCACCTCCAAGGATTCATTTACCTGCACCCCCAGGTCTCTGTTCTTTTACCCCTCTTAAGATTGTATTACCAGCCTATATTGCCTCCCCTCATTCTTTCTACCAAAATGCATTACCTCGCATTTCTCCACATTGAAATTCATCTGCCATGTGTCTGCCCATTTTACCATTCTGTCTATGTCTTCCTGCAGTTGGCTACTATTCTTTTCACTGTTTACCACCCCACCTAACTTTGTGTCATCCGCAAACTTGAAAATAATAATAATAATCCTTGCATTTGATATAGCGCTTTTCACGTCGGGAGGACGTCCCAAAGCTCTTCACAGAACACACCGTAAAGTGAATTGACTGTATATTTGTGGGCGAACGCGGCAGCCAATTGCGCACAGTAATGTCCCACAAACAGTCGTAGATTAAAAATGACCAATTTATTATTGTTTTTAGTTTTGGAGGGAAAATTGCTACTTGCTATACCCAAGTCTAGATCATTTATATATATATATATATATATATTAAGAAGAGCAGTGGTCTTAATACCGATCCCTGGGGGATGCCACTGTACACTTCCCTCCAGTCAGAAAAGCAGCCGTTCACCACAACTCTCTGCTTTCTGTCTCCCAGTCAGTTCTGGATCCGTGCTGCCACTGTCCCTTTTATACCATGGGCTTCTATTTTTCTTACAAGTCTTTCATGTGGCACTTTGTCAAATGCCTTTTGAAAGTCCATATAAACTACATGAACTGCACTACCTTTATCCACCCTCTCCGTTACCTCATCAAAAAATTCAATTAGATTTGTTAGACAAGATTTGCCTTTCACAAATCCGTACTGGCTGTCCCTAATTAACCCATATTCTTCTAAGTGAAGATTTATTCTGTCCCGGATTAGTCTCTAACAACATCAGCAACAACTTGCATTTATATAGTGCCCTCCACGCAGAGTACAAAGCGTCTCAGAGCGCTTAACAATGGCGGAAGCTGACTCCGAGCCTCCAGCATTTGGAGAAAAAAAACTTATCCCTTAGCATTTCTTGAGTACTCCATCTCCCAAGTGTTTTAATACCATTTTTCCATTACTAGTTTGTCTCCAGAGATTCTTAGTAATACAATACAAATGTACATCTATACAGCATCTTTCAGGTAAGGAGGATGTTATAAGGCACTTTACAGTCCTGGCTTGGCATGTAAGCTGGGAGGGTATATTAATATAGTAGTGTATAATGACCAGGGTTTTGACTCCGGTTGAATCAGCTGTTTGTGCTGGAGCACCTGCTGAAAGAAAGGCTGGAGGCAAACAGATGATATTTCCATGTCCCTCTCTGACATGTTTCTGACAAATTATCAAATGAGAATTTAGACGTGCTGGTGTTCTGAACTGCAGTGCTAATTTTCTCTCTCACGCTGTATTTCTGGATCCGGTTGGGTAATGAATTCAAGATCCTCATCCTCACCTACAAGGTCATTCACGGCCTTGCTCCCTCCTACCTCTCCGACCTACTATCCCCCTACCTACCTGCCCGTACCCTCCGTTCCTCTGGCTCCGGTCTGCTCCACATCCCCCGCCCCAACCGCCCTACCATCGGTGGCCGGGCCTTCAGCCTCTCAGCCCCTAGGCTCTGGAACTCTATCCCCCAGTGCCTTCGCCTTGCTTCCTCCCTTTCCTCCTTCAAGGCCGGTCTCAAGACCTTTCTCTTTGACCGTGCCTTCAGCTCCCCTCTCGACTCTCTACCCCCTCCTCGCTCCCTCCCTTCCCTCCCCTCACCCTGACCATTTTCCCTTTGCTCGGGTCCTGACCCAACTGTACAGCGCCTTGGGACGTCCTACCGACGTGAAAGGCGCTCAATAAATGGAATCTTGTTGTTGTTGTTGTAATGTGCAATGGGTATTTGGATCTGTTAATTCACCTCAGCTGCACTCATACTACAGTTTGATGTGATGTTGGAAATATGTCGTACAGATTCCTGGCTCCAGGGTAGTTTGCTTTTATATCACCCTGGTCAACCCAATACACCAATTTATATCCACAATGATTTGCCACAAAAAGGCAGTAAAAACTGGGTGTTTGAGTTAATATGCTTCATAATTTTGGAAGCTGTGGTGTGCGGTGGAAAGACTGCTATGATTCCATAGCCATACATATGGTTACTCTGTCTGAGAGCACAGTTGAAGCACTTATTCTAATGTACTATTTGGGAGCAAGCCAAATTGTGCGTTCAAGTGAGTGTTTGACAAGACAGAGTCCAGCTGAAATCTGCACATTCATTGTTATGGGTCTGAATAAGAAAGTGACAGGAAAATCTCTATCTGCCTTTAAAAACCTACCTCTGTGACCGTGCCAGCAATCGCCTCTTTTGCCTGTTTCCCCACCTTCTCCCTTGGGGGGTGATGCAGTATCTGTAAATCAATCGCATGTTCTCTATGATATGAAGTGTACTGTTTAGAGAAGATTAGAATTTAACAGTCGCGTAGCTGCCGCATAATTATTTGAAGCTCTTTTCAGACATTCCCCACTTCAGAAATAAGGACTAGTAGCTACTGACTCTAAATTTACGATACACATTTTACCACAACAACCTGCGGTGTTTGATCGTTCCATACATCAGTGACTTTTGCTTCAGTACTGCATGCTGTAATGGCAGCTGTCAGGAAATTGAGCCACCTTGAAAGCTATTTCTAGCTTTAGAGACCTGACCCTGTCTGCACAAGGCTGCTTTAGAATTAATGGAAATAGAAGATATCTTCCGAGAGAGGAATTACTGATTTTTTTTCGAAGTGAATTGGTGCTGGCTCAAAACCTCAGTTAATTTGACCTTGATTTGGAGTACTTGGTGGTTTGGAGTATTTAAAGTCCAGAATATTGAAGCTAAAGGTTGGCTGGTGCCACCACACTTCTTTATGGAAGGTGGTTTTATGGTTAGGGTTTCCAGAAATTGACAGAATTCCCACCACTGTTACAGCTGATTGTCTGCTTTTTAGCTTGTTATTTCCACTAGTAGGGGAGTCGGTGACTAGGGGCAGTAGTTATAAGATAGTGAAAAGGAGAACTTAAGAGAAATGTTTTCACTCAGTGAATTGTTAGGATGTGGAATGCTGCCAAGTCAGGTGGTGGCGGCAGAGTCCATTGTGGGTTCAAGAGGGAAGTAGGCAGGTATGTGAAAGTTAAAAGCCTGTAACAGTATGGGGGTGGAGCAGGACAGTGGGATTGAATCAACAACTTGCTCTAGTAGCCATGCGGACTCGATGTTCTCCTTCTGTGTTTAAGTTTCCGTCGTTCTCTGAGAAGAGAGAATGTGCTAGGTGGCCTGCCCTGGGGTTTGTTTTGAATTTTCAATGCAAGAGCTTTACTGCCAGAACTCAATGCAACACTATGTGGAGACACATTATTTCACTGTTGCTTTGTTTAGAATTGAGTCACGGAAGCAAATTGCAAAGTAATTAACGAAAGCTAATGACACTCCCCTTAATGCCTGGTAAAATAATTTACTTAACATCTCGTCTTACAGAGAAATCTCGTTGGACGAGGAAAATACTCGCAGACCTTCGGAACAGGAGAGTGAGTGCAGTGAAGTGGAGTCGTCTGCAGTGGAAGCTGACCAAGCTGCTATAGAAGACAGGTAGACTTGAAGAGGATTAGGTGATCACTATGAAACAAGTTGGCCATTGTAACTTGTAGTTTTGACCAATGCATGTGGTGTAAAGTGAAATTGTTTTGAGGTTATTTTGGTAGGGAGTAAGTTTAGTATGAACAGTCGAGTTCGAAGTGTTGGGGGCCCACATAATAATTTCTTTAAAAAAAATAAAAATAATAAGAATAATTTGGTCACTCAATGCACGATTATTTGTGGGACGCTACTGTGCACAATTGGCTCCCGCGTTTCGCCCACAGAATATACAGTCAATTCACTTTACAGTATATTCTGTGAAGCGCTTTGAGGCATCTCAGAGACATGTTAAGGCGTTATATCAAAATGCAAGGATTATTCTTATAAGACAATTTCTAATTTGACACTAAACAATATTAGTCGGAGACTAGTGAAAAATTGGGATGCACTAAGGTCTAATTTGTAACCAGTGGTTGCAATCCACTATCATTGCCGAACCTTGGGATTCACAAGGAGCATTTTGTGAATCTTGTAAATTAAGTGGCTTTTGATAATAATGGACGGCAAATCTCAATTCACTGATGATTCTGGTTTGTGACCATCTCGAGTTAGATCCCACAATTTCACTTTACACCACATGCATTGGTCAAAACTACAAGTGATCCAGTAGGACGGGGTGTGGGAGGTGACCCTCTTTGATTGGACATCAAAGCACATTTTGGGGTTAAGTCCAGGGAAATTCACTCTGCAACTGCATTGTACCTATCATAGAAGTGGCAAGTATCTGACCTGAAATTTAAAGTAATGATACTTGTCTCAATTTTAACCCACTCCCCCCACCGCTCCCTCCAATTTCAGCTCTGGAATAGACTCTGACAAAGAACAGACCAATGCGTGCTGGACTAGTCCTGCGACCGAAACAAGTCCGCCAGTAGAAGAAGCCGAAGCTGCTGAAGAACACTGATGGAGCATCCATTGTTAGCATCACTGTAGCATGGGTCACCGTTCTCCATTTCAGCGGTAGCTGGAATACAGCTGAAGAGCAGGACAGACTGAATCTCTGATTTTCTAGGACCATTTGAAATGATGTAGGTTTCTTTCTATGGAGGATCCACTCTGTTTGGATTTGTTTTGTGATTCTGGGACCTGCAGTGCACTGCACTAGACAGTACACAAGTATGGAATGGCTGATGTGCTAATCATCTGCAGGTGGATAGTGCACGTAAAATATTTGCCATCTTTGTCTAACCGAGAGCTTCATATCTGAAGTGAGTGCAAAGTAGATTCCAGGAACCAACTAAATTGAGTTGTTCAATTTTTCAGGTTGTGATTCCTCAGCAATTTACACAACTGGCTTTCTTTTAGGTATAAATTTGAAGCTGTTATTGTGTTGGAATGGACCTGCTTTTAATTACTGTTCAAGTTAGTGTCTCAATTGCATTCAAGTAGCTTAAATGAGCATTTTAACATCTGGTCCCTGACCTCATCTTGGATTTGCTTCCGAAATTGTCTGTTAAACAGATTGTTTTGTTTTAGATCACAATGAATTTGTACCTGCATTAATTTTAAGTTAGAATTTCCTTGAAGGAAAGCCATAATTCCCTCCCTCAGTGAAACTCAGGCCAATATGACTGTGTCTGTCTGTCAAAGGTATACGGCAGTGGTAAGCTGTTTATGATGAAGGTGTGGCTAGATAAGGCGAGACTGCTCAGAGTATATCTGTGGTGCACTTTATATATTTTGACTTGTATCCCGAGATTCATGAGCAGAACACATCTTAGTTTCAGTTTGGCGAATTGTGTAATGCTTTTCTCAATCTATTGTTAGAAAATTAGCTTGGCCTTTGTTGCTGCTTGAACATTTGCACGCCTTAGTTGGTTAAGTGCCTTTTTATTCTAGTTTTATTTGAGGCGGAACAGCAATGGGTGTGTTGTGCCTCGCCTACATCCTTGTTTTAAGAGCTGTTCCTGTGAGCTTGTCTGACACGGTGAGCTGTTTAAAGCGAGATGTAGAATGTTTGTATGCCAACACAACTGTCTTTCTGAAGCAGCAGATTGTATAATTATGAGACGACAATGCATAACACTCCACATAGCAGACTGGGAGCTGGGGGGGTGAGAGCTTGGGGCAAGAAAGGTTTGAAGGTGGGAGAGGGATATTTGGGTGGAATCACAGAGAGTGGGGGCAGAATAATTGAGAGCTCCATCAGTTATGGTGGGGCAGATGGGGTGGGGATATGAAGCGAGCTGGGGTTTGTTGAGCAGGCTGTGCAGTAGAGTCATGGGTATGTGGGGTGAGTCCATGGAGGCATTTGAAAGTGAGGATGAGAGTCTGGAATATGATATGCTGCGGGATGGGGAACCCGTGCGAATATTGGATTGTCATTAGCTTTCTGTACCTCACCAAGGCTTGACTGCACCAACCTACATGAATGTTTGCTACATGTCACAGAAGAGTTGTGGAATCCGTGTCTCGTCTTGAACCCAGTCATCCTTCAATCCCCACATACAGGCTCTTGCTGACTTTGCCTTCCCTCACTTATGCAGCTGCAACTGCCTCAACCACAGCCTTTTCCCACTGGCCTGTTAAATCCTGATCCATGCCACCTCCAGACTCGACTATTCCAATGCTAATCTCCTCCAGCTCCTCCTACAGCAATAAATAAATAAATCCTTGCATTTGATACAGCGCCTTTCATATCTGAGGACATCTGAAGGTGTTTCTCAAGATTCACTGTAAAGCATTTTTTTTGGTAGATGAATGTGTCAGCCAATTTGCTCACGGTAATCTCCCATAAAGAGCCATAGAGTGAGTGAATAGTTATTTGAGCAGACCCCAAGAGAAACGCCTCAGATCTTTATGTCCATCTAATTAGCAGACTGGATCCCAGTTTAACATCTCATCAGGATGACATCTCCAACAATGCAGGACATCCCCAGCACTGTATTGGAATGTCATCAGACAGTTCAGAGTCCTAATGTGGGGCTTGAACCCACAATTTAAGAGATTGCTGCCATCTGAGCCAAGCTGATGTCTAAATCAGTGGGCAAGTCTTCAGACAATCTGCAGCTGTTCCCAGAAACTCCATCACGGAGAGTCCTTCCACTCCTGCCTTCAAAACCTGCATTGGAAGCTATATCATCTGCACATTTGGCTACCTTTTCCCCTCTCTAAAGTCTGCCACCCCCTCTGCCCTCCCCCATCCCACTCCGACCACTTGGGGATCCCAGTCTGTCATGTGAAGTAGTTTGTCACTTTCTACTGACATGAAAGATGCTATATAAATGTAAGTTAACCAGGTTTGTTAATATTGGACTGAGATTCAAAATTTTTATTTCTGAATTCCAAGTGACAATAAGGGAAACTATTTTAATTCCCTCTATGCATGCTTTAAATTGTTGTATAATATTGGTCGCAGGGCTCCCCTCCACACATGAATGTGTACAAACAAATAACCACTCCAGTTTCAACAAGAGGCAATTTATTGGTTTTTGCATGTTTTCATTGTTGCAAATGTTACTTTTTTTCAAATAAACTTTCTGCAACATAACTTTCTTTACGTTGCCCATGTCTTAAAATAGACTCTCTAGCTCCTGGTGTGTTCATGTATGTTCATTTTCCTCGCCCACTTTCTTTCCCTCCTCCCACCCCCTCTTCCTCTTGCAAAACTTCTGTCTTCTACAGGTCCATGGCTGAAATGGTCACAGTTGTTAAAACATGTACTATCTGTCTCCATTCCTTTTTTTTGTAGCTCCAAAAAGTTTTTTTTAAGACTGAACTTTAGATCCTTTCAAACAAGGAATGTGAAGTAACTTGACTTAACTAATTTCTCTAAATTAACAAACAAGGTGCATTAAAACTGGTGTTTGCAGTTGGGTAAAAACTATTAGTGGTTGGAAATAACTGCTTTCGAACAGACAATGATTACAGAAATCACTGGGAACACTCAGGCAGCATCTTTGGAGAAAGGAAAGTGAGTCAATGTTTTGTCAGAAGAGTCATGGATCTGAAATGTTGATTCACTTTCTCCATAGATGCTGCCTGACCTGCTGAGTGTTCCCAGCGACTTCTGTTTTTGTTTCAGATTTCCAGCATCTGCACTATTTTGCATTTTTTTTATTGGTTCTTCCTGCAATGCTTTTGAAAGACTTGGTTATTTGTTTTCAGCCTAATGCTGCTTTGGGATGAATAAATTCTCAGCCACACTACAGATGGAATGTTGAATCTCCATAGAGGAATGTCCTCTACAATACAGTTCAATATTGATCAGATGAGTTTAACTTCATCTACAGAAGTAATTTTACCATTTGATCCAGTGTGCCTTATGGGAATGTTGATGCACACCGAATAAGTACGTTTGGATTGATGCTGAAAGAATATGCAGCCGTCGATGGAAAATGATTGGCCATATAAATGGAAAATGATTGTCAAGGACTTAGCTCCCTCTGTTGGCCTGGTACAGTTCTCTTACATCAAACTTACGTCAGCCAGTGTGGAATAGGGCAGGATAAAACTTTAAAATAAAGGGCATGTAGGATGCAAATGTTCTCCAAATTTAACACAGAGTCCCACCTTGACAGAGGGATAAACAAGAAAAACTAACTAAACCTGAAGATCATTGGCTGACAGACTGCTTGGGTACCAGAAGCCTTGGAACACAGAATGATTCTTCCTAAATGCTTTCTTGTTGGTTTGCTCAATATTAATGAATCTGAATATGTAACAAAGACACAGGGAATTTGTGGATCCCAATCATCTGAACACTGGGATGTCCAAGCCTAGATTTGTATCCTAAAAATAGCTAGAACTACAGAATGTTCCATAATTAGGCCATTGAACAGCCCAAATAATGGCAGCACAAGCAGAGGCTTGCAAACCATTCCATCCAAATACTGTGGGTGTCAGACAATTGATACCAGGTTTCACATGACAAATCTGCATCATTTGTGACGGTTAAATGACCTTCTTGTAATGCAGTAGGAGTTATCTAATATTATGTGGCCCCTATACAGGCCAACTGCTATGTGTTTTGTTACAATGTGGGTTCGCTTACAGCAGGATTGTGATATGGACCTTGCATTTACGTATTCAAAAATCCCAAATGCATACCAGCTGCTTCAAACAGCTGATTGGCATAGGGAATCCACAATGGCCAATTTCTGGGTCATCAGGTTACTGCCAACGTCCCTTCCTGCCCATTCATTCTACATGCTCAACATGCTGGAAGGGTCCCTGATAGCAATCTGATGGCCCAAAAGTCTACAATTTTCTTTTAGCCCCGGAGCCTAGCAACTTTCTGTGCACTTGTGCAATAAATAGATGTGGACTGACTGGCAATAAAGATGGTTGGAATTTTATGAACCTCCCCAACTATCACCTTATAACAGGGCTCTTCTGTATTTCCCAAATTGTATAGGGTGTGGATTATTCAGAGCCTGAAGATACATAACAAACTGGAGGTAAATAGCATGGGCATCTTTTTGAAATACAATTTTTGATGCTGTTTATAATGCAACATTAAATTTTGAAACAAAGAATTGCAAATACAAATAAAGAATATTTATTTACAAATTAGATTTGTACTTCATTCACACCTACAGTATCAGGCAGATCAAACAGATATTGACTATAGGTTGCATTAAAATAAAGCAAATGATTGTTATAGTTTCTATTAGCCACCAAGATAATAAATGTTACCAAGCAAATCCAGTAACCACACCTGTTAAAATAGTAAATTGATATAGATCAGATGTTAAATTAGATAGAAAATCAACTTTGTCATAACTAACCAACTTAAGACAATTTGGCCAAATATACAATTTAACAAAAGTAAGTCACAATAATCAGAACTTGAGACATTATTAAATATCAACTAACTCAATTGCTCAAATATTATAATATAGTAAAAAAACTTCTGATCTCAAGCCATAGGAGTGGAAAGAAAGGTCCATGTTTAAAATAGACGCAGCTTATTTGGTTGTCAACCCTAGCAGCCCTGGGTTGTGTAGCAATTTAATGTCTCAATGCAACAGGACCTAGGTAATGATCCACAATAATGGCTATTTTCTAACTATCATTCAATAATCCTTATCACTTTGCTGTCTTAAAATTGGATTTTAAAAGAAATAGTGAAGACTCAAAGCGCTTCACAGAATATACTGTATTTTGTAGACAAAATGCAGCAGCCAATTACAAGTAGCAGTGTCCGACAAACAGTCGTGGATTGAGTGACCAAGTTATTATTTATTTTTAAGGGATTATTACCCCCAGAAAAGCAATCCACCAATCGACTAATAACCGGGTTCCTATTTACTGCTCAGTAAACAGACATGTGAAGCAAGAGAACTTGCCCAATGTTTCGCCCTGCCCGGGAATTGAACCCAGATCCTCTCGCTTGCGAGACAAGTGCTCTAACCACTGAGCTACAGGACTCCAATTCTCAATAACAATGATTTTTGTCAATGGGTCTTGGGGAAAACAGAATGGAGGTTGAGCTACTATCTTACAATCAATAGAAAGTGAATTTAGAGTTCAATACACTTACATCACATTTGACTAGTTTCAGTGAAATTCTTTGAAGAGTAACCAAAAGCAATGCCAATGGGAGGGGGAAAGATGACCAAAAGCACAATCAAAGAGGTAGGTCTTAGAAAGATCTTGAACAAGCTGAGGGAGAGAAAAAAATCTGAGGGAATTGGCGATGGAGTTCCAGAGAGTGATGGCAGACAGGCTGGAAGCCCTTTGGTAGGGCAGGGGAATATGAAACAGCCAACTGAGTAAAAAAAGCAATTGAGTCAGCAGGGTTTGAGGAGGTTGCACAAGTCGGGTGGGGCAAGCCCTTGAAAGGATTTAAAGGTGAAAACTAAAGATTGCAAGTTGAGGAATAGAATGAGGGTTTCGGAAAATCTACGCGTGGAATAACTTGCAAGGGGTGGTTGTTAGAGCAGTCAATTGGATTATTTGAAAAGAATTGGACAAGCGGTTACAAAGCTAAATGAAAGGATACCGGAAAAGAGCAGGGAATTGGGTTTAGCGTGGACGGCTTTTTGGAAAAGCAAACACCGTCATGAAAAAATGGATCAAACAGCCTTGTACCGTGTGATATACATTTCTATGGTTCTATACAATGGAAGGAGATATCCCAGAATCCAAAATGGCTTCATTTCTAAAAGTGCGCAAGGTGACATCTGAAATTAGATGCCAAAGTTAGTCTGGCTTGAATTTCTGGGAGAATTATATATATATATATAATACACACACAAACAGATAATGATTTGCTCAAATTACAAACCATACTTAGTGAACATGACAGATAGCATGTCATAGAATCGAGTCCTTTCTAATAATTAGAAAGAATATAAAATGTCAGACAAATTACACAAGAGTGAAACATCCACTTCAGCACCGTTATCGTAACCGTTCCACATTTCTTTTATGGAATTTCTAGATCCATGATTCCAACTTCTTCATCTCGTCATCTTCCTTTGGCTTTTTCTTAGCTTTAGCTGGAAACAAGAAAGATGCAAAATATTTCAGGGCAATGGATACTTTAACTGTTTTCTCACATGGCAGAAAAAGCAAAATTCCTCAATTATAGCAATTACAGGGAATATCAAATGTTCTGATCATTGAAATGGCTAAATTGATAATTAGATGTGTTGTTCTAGTTAGAAAGATCCACAATGTACTTTGTGCACATTAATATTTCAGCAAATGTTTTCTTACATGACAGCTGCTATGGGTGAAAGGAGTGTTTTGTTTCTGGACATGATCTAGGCACACTGGAAGTGAAGTATGATCAGTGTACAATTTGGAGTCTGCTGGATATGACTGTTATGAGAGACATCTTCCCTGTTTCCCTTCAATCTTCATTGGGCTTTAGATATTGGGTGACCAATTCTCACTCTCAAAAGTTGCATACGTTTTGTTTTTCAGCCCCTCTAGGAATGTGATGTTTGAGAATTTATTATCTATCTACTGTAATCTTCTAAGGGACACATCAAGATCTTTAAAAATATATTTTTCACTCTCCTGCGACACATTATTTCCTACTTAAGATAGCAACATTGCAATAGCCACTTGCTGGGGGGTTTATGAAAGTAATCAGGTTATATACTCCAATTTTCCCCCCTCCGTTCAAGATACCATGACCTCAGAAATGTTTAGTGAAGTGAAACTTAGATGATTAATATTGATGTGTCATATCTGAACTATTGCACCAAATCACAAATGTATGTAAACATGAGGTTTAAAAGCTTATGAAGGTTGTTGCTTATTAAACAAGTGTTTACCTTCAAGACAAGTTATTATTTACTCAAATCTTTGTACAAATTTCACTGAACCAGAGAATCAGTAGCATTTATCAAAGAAACTGTGTACTTTGTGAATTTAAACAGATAGTATTGGTCACCTTACCTGATTTAGATGGCAGTGAGGTGGCTGGAACTTTTGGCAGTCCATGAATCATTTTCTTATTTAGATCCTCTTGTTCCAGTTCCTCTAATTCTGCCAGCAATTCATCCTGTACAAAACATGATTCCATGAATTTCACATATTTTCTACAGAATTTATAGCAATTAAATGTTGGCATTTTGTTCTCAAAATCCATAAAGGTGGAAAGGCGAACTTCTTACAGACTGAATGTTCCAAAGTTCTTGAAATTAAGCTGATTTAATGATTTAAGCATCACAATACTATGTCTATAAAGTTAAGTCGATGTTCAGTTACAATGAATGACAATTTTTAATAAACCAAACATTGAATCGCTCAACATCTTAGGGTTAGGGTTAGTAACCAATTGCTGTGTACTACAAACCGAACCAGGTCATTCCTATCCCACTGTACTGTGGAAGATTCACAAAACTGATATAAGCATCACAGACAATAGGTGACAGCGGTGAATTATATGAGCTGAAAAAATTTAAATCAAATAACAAAGTTCAATTAGAAATGGCAATTTAGTAGTTTCACTTTACAATGAAATTATAAACTGTTTTTATACACTGAATCAATCATCCATAAATATATTACCGAGACAAAGTTGGCACAATTTTACCATCAAAGTACTAACAAGTATCTATATTCCCCCATATCATAGGCTGCACATAGACTTTAAACCTTTGATGCATGCACATGGAGTAATGGGCGAAGGTCATTCCATGAACTGTTTTTGAGTTAACCTCAACCACACTGCTGTGGAAAAGTGCTTAGCAAAAAAATATGCCCCTGCCCATAGAGAAACACTGGGGACAGATTCTCTTCTGTTCTTGCAGAGAAATTGTCATCTGTTAAAGACCAATTCGAAAACACTAATGGGAAAGACATGGGAGAAGGTTGTGAACCTGTCCTTTCAACCAAAAGAGGGGTCTTGAAAATCTTGATAATCTTAATTTATTATCTCCTGCAGATCATAACTGTGCACGTTTAAAATAAAAAAAATTAAAAAGTGATAGTGTTTGGCTTACATTTTAGAAATTTTCAAACAGTTTCATCCAGAACCAAAGAAATCACAACTCTTGATTGGAACTGGTATAGGAGGTGCACCACTCCAGGAGCAATGCAACAACTCTCCTCCAAACTGGAGATGTTCTACACAAACACCAATCATGTAGAGAGGTTAATAACCTATCAGCAGTTATTTTATAATAATAATAATCCTTGCTGTGATATAATGCCTTATCACTTTGTCAAGACGGCTCAAAGTGCTTCACGCATGAGTGATACTAGAAAATGTACACAGTGTAAAATCACCCAATGAAACACAAAACTTTCAGATTGTTTATGCTGCATTTGTGGCCAAAAATAGTTCGTTGAAAGGGCAAAACACTGGGATCCTCTGCATATATAACAAAAACGCCATGTGCCTCTAAAATTCAATGATGAATCTTATACTACGGATGACAGCCAGCTGAGATTTTTACCCTATTTGCATCATTTAATAATAATCCTTATATTTTGTATAGAGTCTGTCAAATTGGGAGGCTGTCTGAAACGCTAACAGGATATACTATAAGGTATACTATAAAGTGTAGTGACTGTGTGTTTGGTGGGCCAAACAGCCCTTACTAATCAAAATTTCATGCAGTTCTTTGTAAATTATTCATCATTATGGAGTAAGTTAATTAAATTAATGTTATTAGATTAAATAATCCCTTTCTACGTGGCAAACCTTTTCAGCAAGGCAGAGAACAACCCTTATTACTCAATCAAATGTTATTGGCTCATACCTCGTCAAACTCCTCACCAAACCCAACTGGTCGGGAAATTGCATCAGAAATTTCCTGTGCGATATCGTGCTGTTCAGTGATGTCTTGCATCATCTCATCAATTTTATCAATATCCCTGAAAAAAATATGAGTTAAATAATTAAATAACACATTGCCACAGCAGCTTGAAATGTGACATTCGGTTTCCTCAACACTAGCTTCTAGTGGGGGTTTGTGATACAACAAATGCAATCTTTCACTGAGTATTGTTTGTGTGGATCAGTAACATTTTATTCATGGGTTTAAAATGCAGTCCTGTAGCTCAGTGGTTAGAGCACTCGCTTTGTAAGCGAGAGACCTGGGTTTGATTTCCGGCAGGGTGAAACCTTGGGTAAGTTTCCTTACACCACACGCCTGATAATATTCCCTCAAAAAAAAAAAAAATTGTTCATTTCAACCCACGACTGTTTGTGGGACACTGCTGTGCACAATTGGCTACCGCATTTCGCCCACAAATATACAGTCAATTCATTTTACAGTCTATTCAAACCACTTCCTTGAATTTACTTAATCTGTAGTGCCTGTAGTTTGTAGGCAAACATATAAATCTACAACACAATGTTAAAACTATGAAAAATCTTCATAGTTATAGCCCTAAAACCATTCTCTTAAACTGCTCATGCAAAATCATGGGACATCCTTAATTTGAGTCTTAATTTGGATGCTAGTGTTCTGCAATTCTTAAAAAGGCTAAAACTATAAGGAATTTCAGTGGTAGCTTCACCTACCACTATGTATAGTGAAGACATCATTACCAAACCAGAGTGAAGTGGGACTTGATTCAGTTACCTACATTAATCTAAGGCATAAAACTACTCCTACAATTCATGACTAGCATTAACAAAAGTTAAATGTGCTGTGGACACAATGAAATGTCAGTCATAAAGGATTGTTCATTTGAAAGCAAGCTCATTATACCTCAGCACTGACAGATCACTCACATGTTATCATGGGCACCTTTTATGGCCTTTGCAGCAAAGCCCATAGATTTCAATACTTCAGTGTTAGTATTTGCGTTCTCTAATGCTTCACGCTGGAATTCAATAGTAGAGAGTGTTCCGTCAATCTGTTCTAGCTGTTTTTCAAATCTCTTCTTTCGTTTGAGTGCTTGTAAGGCGACTGGGGAAAAAAACAGTACAAGTATGAACATAATCAGTTCAAAGAGTTTTTAGAGGACAAGAACATAACAGCCATCAAAGGAAAGATGCAATAGTAACAGAACAAGGCACAAGGTGCAATTGAACAAGAAGGTGGTTATTTACGATAGGCAGGCATCAGCTTGGATGGGACAAAGGTATAAACCAGACCTCATGTTGTTAAGACTATGGAGTCTTGTAGCTCAGCGGTTAGAGCACTCGCCTCGCAAGCGAGAGACCTGGGTTCAATTCCCGGCAAGGCGAAATGTTGGGCACATTTTCTTACTCCACAAACCTCTGTTTACCTAGCAGTAAGTAGGAACCCGGTTGTTAGTCGATTGGGGGATCGATTTTCCAGGCGTAATAATTCCTTAAAAAAAAAAAAATTGGTCACTGAATCCATGACTGTTTGTGGGACACTGCTGTTCGCAATTGGCTGCTGCATTTCGCCCACAAATATACAGTCAATTAATTTTACAGTATATTCTGTGAAGTGCTTTGAGACATCTCGAAGACATGATAAGACGCTATATCAAATTTAAGGATTATTATTATTATCATGTCCAGCCAGGATAATACTGTGCATTCCTTTCAAGGTGGTCAACACTATCTGGCTCTCCCTGGGATGTTATCGAAGGTACTGGAAGGACAAAAGGGGCTTCACTGTCAGTAGATTGCAAGAATAGTTAAAGAGTTCTAACAGACTATTTAAAAAGCTGTTCTTCATTTGGGGCAGTCATTGGAATAGAGTCTTAGAAAAAATAAGTAGCTATAGCAAGGGTTTCAATTCCCAATCAGGGAATTTTTGGAGAGCGAACTCAGAAACTTACTCTCTACTACACAAAAGCAGAACAAGTCTGGAATATTTTTTTCTCAATTCGGATGGAAGCTATTCACCAGGTGGTGAAACCATAGAATGCTTGAGAGTAATGGCCAAGCAAGGGAGAGAGAAAGAAGTGATGAGACACATGTTTGTTGAAACACCACCCACTGACGTTTGGGTGGAACAAAACTTAATTCCTACACAGGCCAAATCTGTAATGTCCTATTATAGAAAATGCAGTTAGGCTGGTTGACGCCTCCTTTATGCAACATTTCTAGAGATATCTAACGTGATAATTTCTTTCTTTCAAGACAATATTGTTCTCAATTGCAAGTACTCTACTGCCTGATAGGTCTTATCAGAAACTTCACCACCATTATTAGTAGAGTAGGGATATGTTAACAGTTTTTTTTACTTAATGCATGAAATACAGATGTCTCTGCAGTAAATACCATTTTATCACAATCTCCAATATGGCAAATTGCTTATAATCACTTGTTACAGGGAAAGTACTGGCGAAATACTAGATAAATTCTGCAATGTGCACTAAAGCACTTTAACTGGCTCCCAGACTGCACTGGCTCCCTGTCCCAGAAAGGATCGATTTCAAGATCCTCACCCTTGTCTTCAAATCCATCCACTCCTCCACAGCCCCCTACCTCTCTGACCTCCTCTCTCCTCAAAACAGTACCCGTTGCCTTCGTTCCTCTGGGAGTGGCCTCCTCCTCGTCCCCCGAGTCCTCCGCTCCACCCTCAGCGATTGTGCCTTCAGCCACTATGCCCCGAGGCTCTGGAACTCCCTTTGCCTCGCCCCTTCTCTTCCTGCTTTTAGGTCTCTGCTGAAGACCTTTCTTTTCGACCGCGCCTTTGGTCACCTTCCTCCCCCCGGCTCTGCCCCGGGATCTGTTACTGTAAAGCGCTCTGAGACGCTGTCCGGTGTGGAGGGCGCTATATAAATCCAAGTTGTTGTTGTTAACGCAGCTTCTTGTGCAATGCTCTTCTGCGTCTCCTCAACTGCTCTCAATACCATCTAAATACATCATCAGAATCCCTCCACAATCAATCAAATTTTGAAAAGACAATAATAATCCTTGCATTTGATATAACGCCTTATCACGTCTTCAAGACGTCTCAAAGCACTTCACAGAATATATTATAAAGTGAATTGACTGTATATTTGTGGGTGAAACATGGCCAATTGCGCATATCAGTGCCCCACAAACAGTTGTGGATTGCGGGACCAAATTATGTATAAAAATTTTTTGAGGGAGTATTACCCCCAGAAAAGCGACCTGCCAATTGACTAACAACTGCGTTCCCTACTTACTTACTGCTTGTTAAACAGGCGTGGGGAGTAAGGAAACTTGCCCAACGTTTTTCCCTTTAGTGAACTGAAACCCAGGTCCTCTCCTTGCGAGGCGAGTGCATTAACCACTGAGCTACAGTACTGCACAAAGTTTGTGATTATGTTTCTTGGTTGTTTTTCAGTTTTAGCAAGCAACAGACAATACACATCTATCATCACATTTTAGTAAAATCCTAGTACTATCCAGAGCGAGGCTATTTGAAAGTTTCACATCCTTCTTATTATGCTTTGCCTGAATATCATGGTGACTGGCATGATCCTTTGCAACATACTGCATGAATGTTCTGATCCGTGCAATAAGTGAACAAAATTAAGTTAGTTATGAAGCTCTAGCATAATTTCCACATAAATATGCAAGACCTTTATTCTATTAATGCTATTACATAGAAACAAATTTCTCTCAAACAAAACTAATCAAATAGTGTCATTTTTGATACTGATAGTGATTTGCTGCAGAACACAGATCATCTATTCACAATTCAAGTGAAAGCTACACCATTGCTATGAATTGTTATTGTCCAATTGAAAAAAACTTTACTTGAGAGAACAGTTGCGATCTCATGTCCATATTCCAACTGTCTGATATGCCTCTGGGTGTCAATCAGAGCCCAGATTCTTTCCCACAGAGACAAGGGGAATTCTGTCCAATTACCCCCAATATACATAGCTTCTTGTGGTTAGGCCAAAAACAGCCTAGTTAGAGGACTGTAAACACAATGTTGCGTGGAAATCCAAGAGGTAGAAATATCTTAGGGATGGACCACAACTTTATAGCGCTTCATTAAACAACATTTTAAACAAACAAAAGTTATTTCCATATTCTTAGATGTACATCAGCAGTGTATCTAAAAAGGCTCGAGACTAGCAGAACAATATTTAGTTCAAGCACAATGCTAAAGATATAAGAATTGTCATAAACTGAGGACAGAAGAGAGTAAGTTGTTAGAAAATGAGAAAATAGTCAGAAAGTTTAAAACCTTCACCATATAAGACTTACAGGTTGTCAAGATGATCTGACAGAAAGGAGGATTACGTAGTACTTATCACAGGTCAGTCCATAGAAGACTGAAAAGATTTAAGTGTGTTCTTTCTTTTAAGTATGAAGAAAGTGAACAAATGGGGGATGATCTGTCAAAAGAAAGGGGCCCAATTAAAACAGGATTGGAAACAGAGCGGTAATAATCTTTACACTGACATTTTAGCAGTTAAAATGTATACTACATTCATAACATTTTTTTTACAAATGATTAACCATTAACTCCGCAAAGAATACGGTTCTGTATCTGTTTAAACCAATAAAATACCTTGATTACCCTCCCCCTTTCCCAGTTCAGCCCCCACCTCACCCCCTCTAGTTATAGAGCCAACCAACAAGTTAAAGCTCACAATTTCATCCATACTATTTGTGTAAAGTTAAGATTACACAAGTCCTGAACATTCAGACCTTGTTTCTATATTTATTTTAAGTGGATTTCCAAT